CAACCATAATCTTGGTTCCATGTTATATTCTCTATCTTTTACCTTGGTTTTCTCACTCATTTAAAGTAGAGTTCATCTCATTGTATTGTTTGGTATATAGTTTTATCCCTTCCTGGTAAAATATGGGATATATCACTATAAGCAAAGTGTTCATGATGCCTGGTGTTTCTTTCTATAACTCACCACCCCCTAACTACCCTCCACCCCCTAGACCCATCCCCAGGTCTTGCGGGCCACAGCTCACCAATGAAAGAAGGCTGGAAAAGGGTCTCGGGGCAGCGGAAGCGCTCATTGCCAATGGTGATGACCTGCCCGTCTGGCAGCTCATAGCTCTTCTCCAGGGAGGAAGAGGAGGCTGCTGTGGCCATCTCATTCTCAAAATCCAGGGCCACATAGCACAACTTCTCCTTGATGTCTCGCACAATTTCTCGCTCAGCTGGAAGGAGCAGAAATGACAAAGTGGATATTCAGCTCCCTAGTTTGGTTGTACTGTTGTTATCTCCATGAAACCTTTCTTTTCTTTACATTTTTTTTTTACAACTACTTTGGCTGCAGTCTTAAGATGATGACAGAACTGCCCTGAAGAGGGGCAAGGGTCACTCTATCCCATGCTAATTTTCTACTTTTCTTTCTAAAGCAGGAGTTAAAAGGCTTGATTCCCAAGTAAAACTTTGCATTTCTCTTGCTTTCCCTTCTCAGTCCCAACAAATTCCCATGGGCTAACAGCTCACATTTTTAGACACAGTCTCAGACTTTGTAACTCTAACAGATTCTAAAAGCATCTTCCTAAAAACTTCTCTTGCATGGTGGGCCACATGATCCTCTCTGCTCAGAATTTCAGTTGTGTTTTATTCCATTTGTTCTTGTGGAGGACCACCAGGATGGCTCTCCATGAAAGAGTATTTGTCTCCATTTTCACTAAACCTAGACTGTTTCCATGTATTGATATCTACAGAGCTGGCTAGGATATTTCTTTATCCCCTCAGTTGGCTTTAAGCAATGCAAATGGGTTTAATCCAAGTGCTGATGTATAGTCTTTAAAGCAATACAACAGGTCAGTGATACCTCACCTACAGCTCCCAAGTAGCACGTATAAACTAGGCCAGGTGACAGAGACACCATTTTGTTGGCTAGATTGAAGCTAGACTAAGGCTCAAGAAAGAATTTATGATGTCGTAAGGCATGAAGATTGAACATCAAAGCTAAAGCCCACCCGACCCCAAAACACAAGATACTCCTTCAAACTGTGTTATGTAGATTATTATATCTGCATATCTCTCTCTGAGTATTACCGAGGTGCTATTTTGCCTCCTGCTTAGCTCATCTCACAGCATTCATGTACTGCCTACCATTCTTACAGTCACTCATCCCTAAACCACAACTCTCTTCATAAATTAATAAAAACTGAGTTCAGACCTGGGTCGAGGCCTTTGTTCCAGATAGTCATTATTCTAACTGGACTTAGGATTCTCTTGGCTCTCCACCATTATAGATATGTATTTGTGTCTTTATTTGCACCATGAGTTGCACTGGAAGTGGTAGATTGGACTTAAGACACTAGAATGCAATAACTTTTCCACGGGATTACAAATATAAACTCCAATGGCATGCAACAAGGCCCAGAGAAAGCCTTTCTATACATCCTCAGACACAAAAGAGGCACCCTTAGGTAATGCAATGCACCAGATCTTTATTCCCATTTAGCCTTGTCAAAACTACTGGTCCCGGAGGGATGAACAGAGGCAGCAGCAGACCTCTGGGCAAGGAGGGAACTCTCCTCTGGATAAGGAGAGAAAGGGCTAAAGGAGGGGTCAGTCAAGTGCTGCTTAGAGCAACTAGATCTCACCTTTGTCCCTCTCTCTGGGGTGACTTGGGCACTTTCCTGCTTCAGTAAGGCTTCCCTTACTGGTCTTATCCAAACACACAGCTCTAGCTGTGGTCTCTCAGTCTACCCTAAGACAGTTTGAGAATACAGGATCAGGGAATTCCATCAGTTCTGACATTTTCTTTGTTTCTAGGCCAGATCTGGCTCTGAGTTCAAGTAAGAATCAAGACAGGGGCTGAATACCTGTGGTCACAAAGGAATAGCCTCTCTCTGTGAGGATCTTCATGAGGTAGTCCGTGAGATCGCGGCCAGCCAGGTCAAGGCGCATGATGGCATGGGGCAGAGCATAGCCCTCATAGATGGGGACATTGTGGGTGACACCATCCCCTGAATCCAGGACAATGCCTATAGGCAGAGAGCAAAAAGTCTTCAAAAACTTCATTTTGACTTTCACTTGTTTCTAGGATTAGTAGTTAAGAAGTATTAGTCAAGTAGTTAAGTAGTTTAGTAGTTAGTACATTGAGGTTGCCAATGTACCAAGACAATATACTAAAAAATTTGTATGTTTAGTAGTTAAGATAATTAGGTAGTTAAGATAATTTACTCGGCATGACAATCATCATAGTGTGAATGTGTGTGTGTAGTGTGTGTGTGTGTGTGTGTGTGTGTGTGTGTGAAAAATCTTTTCATCCCAGGTGAGACTGTAAACTTCTGAAAGGCAAGAAAATGTCTCCTTTTCTTAGATTCCTTGAAACACATTCATGGTAATGTACATTTGTCAATTTGTATTAAATCCAGACTGTACATTCTTTTAAGTGAGACTGGATAGACCTGGAGATTTAGCTCAAGGGCTGAAGTGCTTACGTGGTAAGTATGAGGTTGTATGTTTGATTCCTGGTGTCAAAAAACAAAACAAAACAGAAAAAAAAAGTGAGACTGGATATTTTAAAAACCTGTTAGGAGTCAAACTAACATGTATGGAATGTTGAGTCTAAAATAGCTATGAAAAATAGCCAATTTGAAAAAGATTATTACTATCTACTCAAAATTTTCTGTAGCTGGGTGCAGCGGCATGACCTATAGTCCCAGAATCTGGGAGGCTGAGGGAGGGAGATTGCTGTGAGTGCTGTGAGTTGGAGACCAGGCTAGATTACATAGTAGTTCAAAGCTGGACTACAAAACAAAACAGAGCCAAAAAACCAAATTTTTAGTAAACCATGAAAAGAAGTAAGATTTCTCAACTTAAGAAATCCCTGTTGATTCAATAATCACATCATAATTAGTAAGGAAACATTAAAATATCACCATTGTGATTGAATAGTGTCCGTATGATCTAGCCAACATACTAAGACAGAAAAGAAAAATAATAAGAATTATTACCAAAAGAAAGCAGAATTACCATCACTTGCAGATGATATGGCTTTATATTTAGAAGATTCAGAGGAATCAACTAAGAAAGCTTTAGACATGAACTGGTTCAGATGCAAAATACATACTCAGAAGCCAGTAAATTAACTGTATAAGAATTGTCATCATAGCATATTTTATAACAAAAAGCAGAGATAATCTAAGTGTCTATCAACAGACAAATGGTAGAATAAGTAAATAATGAAACCATCACCCAGTGACTATCAGGTGTCCGGGAAGCATGTTTACACCATGAAATCAAGCACAAAGCTCAGGATAGAACACTGTGTATGCCATATGTTTCCTTCTCTCTGTCTTTACCACCTGTGGTGAGATAATTTTTTATTTTTGTCTCTCCCCCACCAAACTGTTAGCTGCAAAATGGCAGGATCTATTTTGTCAGTGTATGCCCATGGCCTGGTACGGGGTTTGGCATATCATAGAGAGCAATGGAAAGTATTTGATGGATGAAATGAATGGGTAAGTCAAGAAATACATGATGAATGAATGTTTGAACAGTGTTTATGGAAGCTGTTGAGTCCCTATTAAGGATCGTTTTACGCTGAGGTTCTGTTTCCTGAGCATCCTTCTGTGTGTAGCAAGGCTGTCTGCTGGCACATCCATTATCACAGGATCTACTGTTGCTGATTTGTGAGGCAGAAACATTGTAGTATCATAGGGTATGTATATAAGATCCTGGAAAGACTAGTGTGAGGGAATAACCCTGGCCAGTGGAAGGAGGATAAAGGCTATACTAGATGTGCTTTGTTCAGATCAATTCTTCCAACCATATGAAGTAGTCTCAAAGCCAGCATTCCCCATAAGCATCCACCTTTGTCATCCCTAAGCAAGATTTTCCCCTGAGCTTTTATTTGTGGGGGAGGGTGTTTGTTAGTTTTAGTCATGTGTGCAGCACATAACAATTCCCCTGTACTTGCCCTTTGATTCTTCTGGGCAGAAAACTGTGCAGAAGCCCAGCTTGTCCCTACTTCCCCTGAAGTCAGAAAAGGAATGAATTCCAGGGTCCCTCACCTGTGGTGCGGCCAGAGGCATAGAGGGAGAGCACAGCTTGAATGGCAACATACATAGCAGGAACGTTGAAAGTTTCAAACATGATCTGAAAAGAATGAAGAACAAAGGGTGGTGTGGCAAAGACCACAGTACCTCTTGGCCTACAGAATGGTTTGTAATCTTACTAAGAGCGGGGACTATGCCAATCTGGAACTTGTTTCTCTTATTCCCACTTCCCATAGGGCCTGGCGTGACCATGTATATAACAGGTCCTGAAAAATTCTGTTTCATTGACACACGATGGGCAGACAGTGTCTGGCTGGGCATCCATGCTGCATTCTCGGGCCAGTGCTGAAGTCTTCCTGGATCTTACCTGGGTCATCTTCTCCCTGTTGGCCTTGGGATTTAGTGGGGCCTCCGTGAGCAGGGTGGGGTGTTCTTCTGGTGCTACCCGCAGCTCATTGTAGAAGGAGTGGTGCCAGATCTGGTTGAGACAAAAGCCAGAAGAACCCTGTAGGCTCCCAGTGGGCTGGGAGACTCTGCCTGACCTGCCCATGCTGGGGGAGTGCAGCCCCACCTGCACAGAATGGGGCTGGGTCTGAAGAACACAACGGTCAGCCCTGGATAGTTTTGGTTGACATTTAGAGGGTATATTCTTTCCCAAAAGGGCCTCAACCAGGCCAGACCTGGGGCTAATATTTTCTCTATGTTGATTATTTCCATCTGACCTTCCCTCTTCTTTCTCTTTTTCCTGCAGCTTTGTGCTCAAGGGGAACCAGGTGTATTTCATCGTTGCTTTCTGGCTTCTGGCTATGGTTGGTGGATGGACAATATCAGCAGAGAACACATACAGGGAGACCAAAAGAGATCAGGGCATTTCTGGCAGTGGAACAGTCCTCCCTGAACACAGATCCTGTGGGGTGCTTTTTCTTCTAGAGCTCCAGTTCTCCAAGAGCTCCAGCAATACTTCACCCTCCCCTGCCTCCTATGTTTGGTATTAGGGATGTAAGAGCTCCCATTTAATCACTATTAAAAAAAAAAGTGAATGTACTCTCTCCTGCTGGGAATCCGACAGATACAGTATGCTTGGGTTCCATTTTTCACTATTTACTAACCAAGCTGGTACTTGGGAGCTTCGTAAGCTCAGTCCTGGAGCATTTTAGGCTGGATAATGCCATGTTGCAGGGGGCAGACCTGTGCATTATAAAACATTTAGCAATCCTGGGCTCCACTCACTACATGTTAGTAGTACCTGTCCCACTGTGATGATCAAAAATGTCTCCAGAATTATCAAATGTTCCCCGGGAGGACAAACCATCGCCGTTGAGAACTAGTGCTTTAAGGAGATTATTTCTCTCTCCTGTATCCATTTCCCTCTTTAGTGATTCAGGAAAACCAAACAAGAGTCTTCATTTCAGAGGAATTTGGCAAAGTGTCCGAGACATGGGGTGCGGGTTGCTTCAGAGGTGGAGCTCAAAGTCATTCGAGCCCATCAGACCCTTATATTTTATGGACTTTGGGCTGGTGCTGAGAATGATAAAGGTAAATGAGAATTAGACCTGACACTCAGATTTAGTTTCAAAGTCTAGAGGAATGAGAGTCACAAAGACAAATACAAAGACACGAGCCACACTGTGAGTGAATCATCTAGGGAATCTGAATGAGCCTAAAAACAAAGATCTCCAGGGGCTGGAAGAACATGAGGCAGAGGAAATGGTACAAGCAGAGTCTCTGGACTGTAAAGTTTCACAGGAGAATGAAAGAGGAACCTGGCCTGAATGAGATGGTAGAATGTTCCTTAAAATGTGCTTCCCATGGTGCATTCCCGTAATCCCAGAACTCAGGGAGGCTGAGGCAGGAGGATTGTTGTGAGTTTGAGGTCCGTCTGGGCTATAAAGTGAGTTCAGGGCCAGCCTGAACTGCATAGTGAAATCCTGTCTCAAAAAGACAAGAAAAAAAAGTGCTTCCCAGTGTTTTACTTTGACTTTTAAAATCTGTTTTTAGCACTTTTTAAATTTCCATTTGGCAGTTATATGTATATGTCCTATGTTTTTTGTAGAATACTTTGTATTTTTTATTATCAATTTATATTGACTTGTTATATTAATCATTAAATACACTTTTAACATTTTTACAGTATGCTGCTTGACTTTATTATTATTATTTTTTGGTGGCACTGCTAATGAACCCAAGGGCACTCTACTGAGCTACATCTCCAGCCTCTCTTATTTTTTATTTTGACATACGGTCTCACTAAGATGTTCGGACTGGATCAAACTTGTGATCTTCCTGCCTCAACCTCCTGCGTAGTGGAAATTTACAGGTGTGTGCCACTGTGCCTGGCTAAATTTATTTTAGACATAATAGAAGTTCTGATTTTTAAGTCAAATATTACTTTTTTCTTAATACTACTTTAACCAGAAGTCTGATTAACTGCTTGCATTTATTTTATTATATTTTTGAATCTTTATATTTAATTGATGTGAAATAGTATGAGAGAAGTAGTGGAAATTTCCTCTCCCAACACATACCAAATAACTAATCAGCTATTTAGAATAATTCATTGAAATAATCCTTTTCCCCTCAAGTGTTAAAAGTTCCATTCATCATATACTTCCTTGTTATCTTTGTGTTGATAGGAGATTGTTTTAATTTTTATGACTTATACTGTAGGGTCTGTTTTTGTTTTGTTTTGGTTTGGTGTTTTTTTTTTTTTTTTGAGATAGGGTCTTACTATGTAGTGTAGGCTGGCCTTGAACTCACTCTGTAGCCCACGATGGCCTTGAATTCTCAGTGATGCTCCTGCCTCAGCCTCTCAGGCTCTTATTACAGGCCTGTACCACCATACCCAGCAATATTTTAGCATTTGGATATAGCAAGCCTTTCTTCATAATTTTTCTTACTCATTTTCTCATAATTTTGCTATTTCTCTGAGCATACTTATTGGTTATTTTGCATAATTTTTATTGGAATGGCAATTAGTGTTAGTTATTTGGAGGAGATCTGACACCTTTACCCTATTCAGTTTTTCTTTAAAGAGTTGACATATTGCTACTATGGTGAAAAACTATTGTTTCTTATGTATCATATTGTTATGGTTGATACATTGCATCAACTTGAGAAGTTCAGAAGTTTAAGGCACTCAACAGGAGCCAGGGCCCTTGCTTTGTAAACATCCTCATCCTGTGCAGGAGGAGGCAGGGAGATTTTGTGAGAGCTACACTAGCCCTGGAGTGGGAGTGGTGGCCTGTGTAGGATATAAGGAAGGAAAAGAGGCTCTCTTCCCTCCTTTTGCTCTGGCTATTGTTGTCTTCTTGAAGTGTTGCCCCTGTGCCAAGCCACCCTGCCTTGGAGCCAGCTGATTATGGGCTGAAACCTTGACAAACTGTGAGCTAAATAAACCTTTTCTTCTTTGATTTGAGGCATCAGGTATTTTGTCGCAGCAATGAGAGAAAAATAACCAAGACAAACATGTATCATTTTTGAGCACTAATTCACACTTTGAGATTATACTAATTATTTACCTAACTCAATCTCCAAAGAAACCTAATGAAGAAAATATTTTTATCTCCACTTCCTAAATGAGGAAACTAAGACTTACAGCATGGGATTTGCACCCAGACCTCTCTTCTGACTTTAGTGCCTGTGATCCTTCCCACTCCATTGTGTGAATAGTGTGAAAGCTATCGTATCTTTTACGCTAATCTTCCATCCACCATTTATATTTTGAGAAAACTGTAAGTGAATTACAGATCTAAACTCAACACTCTTCATTTCCAATTGTAGTCTGCTCAATAAGCTCTCTATTATATTTCAGAAAATAGTCATACTAGAAACAAGAACTCTTGGTCAGCTATCAGGAGAATTTATCAGAACTTTGTTAGCATTTTGTGCAAATGACTTTGAAAGCACAAATGCTTCCATTTAACCTTCCCCCTACACACACACACATTTTATTACACAAAAAAGCTTTTAGAAAGTCAGGCATGACTATACACACCTATAATCCCAGGGCTCAGGTCAGAGGATCCCAAGTTTATGCTCAGCCTGGGAAGCTTAGAGACTTAGCAAGACCCTGTTACAAAATTTTCTTTTAAAAAAGTGTTTTTAAACAGTCAGGCATGTAGCTCAGTACAAATGTGTTGGGATTACTGAAAAAAGAAAGAGAAAAGAAGAAGAAGAAGAAGAAGAAGAGGAAGAAAAAGAAGAAGAAAAAAGCTTCATTAGAGAATCATCATCATAATATAGCATCAGTGCATCTAGCTGAAGCTATAACAGGGAAATGAAAAGGGTTGTTCATCTCTCTGGAGGCAGTGTTAGCATTTTAAATGAGCGTGAGCACCAGCCAGAGTGAATGCTGGGTGAGAGGAGGAAGCTAGGTACAAAGCATGGCCAGGTCCCCAGATGCCACTACAGAAAGGTAGGAACCTATGTTGTCAGTGAGGGTCTACTAAAGGTGCCAGAGTGTGTGAGGGACATGAGCAGATGTTTTTAGAAAGTGAAGTTTTGTAGCAGGATCGAGAATTAACTGGGTAAGTGAGAGCAAAAGATAAAGAAACCAGCAGAAACCACGGCAATGTAGTTCGGGAGAGAGGCTGGAAGCCTAGGTCGGAGCAGTGGTTCTGGAGAGAGGAAGGAAACATACGAGAAATATTTTTGAGGAAGAGTTGACAGGACAAAGGGATACAAGGGTCATGACGATGTATTAGCACTACAATGAGATGGTGGGGGTTTCCAGTACCTTCTCCATGTCATCCCAGTTGGTGATGATGCCATGTTCAATGGGATACTTGAGAGTTAGGATCCCTCGCTTGCTCTGGGCCTCATCCCCCACGTAGCTGTCCTTCTGGCCCATTCCCACCATTACACCCTGCAAAGCAAGAGAGAGCAAAGAGGAGTGAATGGACCTTAAGGCTCCGCACGGAGGGATTCACACATTGGAATTCTCTGATGGAGGAAGAGGAAGGGGAGAGGAACCTTCCTGATGCAAAAACAAGAAAGCAGGTATAAGGGTGGGTAGACACGGGTGAGAATGGAAATGGCAGGAAGAGGAAGTGGAAGACTGCTTGTGGGCTGCTCTGTCTCCTAAGACAACGTTGTTTTCTGAAAGAAATCAAAACCCATCACTTTTCCTCCTCACCTTATTTTACACACACACACACACACACACACACACACACACACACACTCACACACAGAGTGAGAGAGAGACAGAAACATAGAGACAGAGAGAGAGAAACAGAGACAGAGAGAGAGAGAGAGAGAGAGAGAGAGAGAGAGAGAGAATGGACTTCTACTTGACCGCCTTAAATTCTCTTTGCTTATACTAACCCAACTCCCAATCCTGATTGTGCTATTTTCTCACATGCTGAAGCCCTCTGCGCTACAGGTCTCTGTTTTCCCATGATATTTTCCCTTTCCCAAACCCCATTCACATCTAACCCTTCCATCTGTTGTGTTCCTGTGAAAAATTTTGGGTCTATCGTGGCCTATGATCTTAAGTTGTATGTGTATTTTCACAAAATGCAAATTTCTTAAAGGCCAGGGTATTTTAAAATTGCAAGTATATTAATTCTTCCAAACCTAGCAACACTCAAATATAATCCAGACATCATAATACATTGTTGGATGCCTGCTGGATATTGGTTTTGGCCTGAGATGTTTCTATTTTTAAAATCCTGCTTTATCAGTTAATCAGAAAACAACAGTAAAAAAGAAAAGAAAAGAAAAAGAAAACAGCATCCTTTGCCCCAGAATAAATACATACAGACAGACATGCATGGAGAGAGACAGAGACAGAAAGACAGAGACAGAGACCTATCCACACAGTTTCTGCAAGGTGGCTCCTAGTGTCAAAACTCAGGGCCAGATGAGCACACACCTGGTGGCGAGGGCGGCCTACGATGGAGGGAAAGACAGCCCGGGGGGCATCATCTCCTGCGAAGCCTGCCTTGCACAGGCCAGAGCCATTGTCACACACAAGTGCAGTGGTTTCTTCTTCACACATGATGAGTGTGGCTGAGTGAACTGGGGGCTGGAGCACCTTGGGA